TAATTTAATCAATTTTTAATATAATCTAATCATCAACCGATATACAACTGTAGAGTCTATACCCATTAAAAACTTAGTCGATTCATTATTGAGTTGAATACTAAAGGTTATCAAACAACATGCTGGAGCCTGAGCTTGGAGAACAACAAGACCGAAAGTACGAACCTGAATTTTTTGATAGCGAACACTTGTGAGCAATGTTAAACCCTTTTATGATTGAAATGTGGCAGTGATGATGATCGAATTTCAGCTGAATAAATTTATTCGATCACAATCAACGTAGAGCCTGGCACAAACGTTTGTTAGTGTAAGTTGCTATATTATATAAGCACGAAGAGATGAAATTCAGAAGATGAAGGAGGAGTCATAGTAATGCAGTGGCGATGGTAATCAAAAAGACTAAGGATTAAGAACATAGTGCCAAAAATAAAGAGAAAATATATGTATGAAATACTGGAGTCTAAGACCTAGATGAAGATAAATAGTGAATACATCAGCGCCGCTACGACAAATTACAAACTACGTAGCCCAGCATCACCAACTATAGTTTACGACAATCGCCCTAACCACAACTAGATATCATGAATCTATCGACATAGTTTGGGTCGACGGTTAAGGAGTTCTCAGACAGATGTCACGTTTTGGTTTGGCCTTCCCTTTAGCAGAAGAAATTACTGATAACGTACTAGCCACGAGATATGTATCCAAAATTTTATTAATTCGAAAACATTCAGTAATAATGGTTGTCAGAATAGAGTATCACCCTCTGCATTTCTCTGAATGACATTACTCTAAAGATCGATCAAATGAAACCCAACAGTCTGCTATAAATAATTCGTTATTTAGCGAAATCATCCACAGTAATTAACGAGTAACTGGTTCATTCTCGCTAGTGTCAGCTTCTATTGCAACTTATCCTCAAAACCAGGACATTCTCGGTAATAAAACGTTAGTCAGAAGAAACTCAAACAAACCGACTTAAAGTTAAAAATTTGAAATGTCTTAAAAAACTTAGTTTAGAAACTATTAAGACGCTTGAAAACATCCTATTTCATGTACAAACTAATCATGAAAATTGACCGTTTAAATTGAATATTTCTACTGATTTGCTTTACAGTACTAAATTCATATTGTTTGTTAAACGTTTATCTGAAATGTCCCAGTAGTTATACACTTTAAAAGATTGTTGAGACATGAAATAACAGTACACAATTCAAATACACTGTACGAAGTAAATGTAACTAAATGAATAACTTGTATGGTTTATCCAATAAATGCGCGAACTAAGTTACTGAGGTTGGAATCAATGAAACAGTTAAGGGAATAAAGTTTATAGAATGGTACTGGCTATTCTCAAGACAAAGCATTCTGGAAAACAACTTTCTTCAAATGGTTCAGACACTAAAGTGAGATTATTGTAGACTGCAAGGATAATATAAGGATTGAACGTCGGTCGACTTACTGTGTTGATGAAAACATCCATGTACAGCCTGTTCTGTGATTTAATGCCCAAATTATCAAGAATCAGCCTAATGAATCTCGTCTGTGAACTCTGTTTCCTCAAAACATATACTGGAGCGACGTAATAATTAGCAACATGGGAGGTGAGAGTTGTGAGTCTAGGTGTACTATTCTGAGTAAACAAATTATTCAAGTAACTCAGATCACTACCAGTGTGACTCTCTTTGGATCAGTTTGGTAAATTATATATTCGCATGAAAACTTCTCACTTAAACGATAGTTTTGTCCTTCTGGGTTTCCTAGACAATCACATTTAACATATAAATTTTATTCAACCAAACATAATGAATGTATTATTCTCATTCTTTAAAAACATATCAGTAATTAGTTTAACTTGCTAGAAATATATGACATCAATTAATGATCAGAATGGGGTTTTTAATAGTTGAATTGATGAATCGATGTGAGCTATTCCACTATTGAAAACCTGGAATCACTGGATGGGCGTTTCATCCTAGTATGGCGGTATTCAATATGGTTTACCTTACATCTCCTCATGAATTCAATTATTAACAATCAGTTAAATCACGTAAATATAAAATAAATCTCTTATAATTTTTAATTATATTATAATTTCCGCACTATTTTAACTCTTTTATGATTCGAAAAAATAACTCTGCCTGTAGCTCTTCTAGAGTTACTTCCGGTTCCAATTCCGAGTAAAGGAGGAGGGTTGAGCATGGGGTTGCAAACCTATCCTGTAGAAAAAAATCTTGCTAAGAGAACACCAACCAGTATGATTGGAAAATGTTTATGACTATTTCGATTTAAGTAGTGACTTAATTAAATTCGTTTTGTAAAATAGTTAACGGCTACAATAGTTTTGAAGAAGCTTTATGTATTATTCGTACTGTTTAGTTCGAATACGTCGGTAAAATGATTTGACATATTTGAATAAGATTTCAGTACTCGGATATATTTCTTAAACAAACGGTTCTGATGTTTTCCTCCTTATCTTCATGACCATAGTAAACACAATTGAATCTTCATTTTCTTTAAAAATACATTTATATGTTGGCATCATTCATTGTATCCTAGTATAGAAATTCACAGAAGTGGTCTCCAAACAAATATTCAAATATGCATAAAAACAAATTCAATAACAAATTAATAACAATTAAAAACGTGGATAACTTCATTCCAACTCAGTAATCTGAAGGGCATATACTAATCGGATTGCCTCGAGCTTAATCCAGTATGAGATAGTTGGACTCCACTGGCCACGACATTTCACTAGAATTCCAGGAAATACATCATGAAGCCAGTCACTAGTTAGCACATAATGATTATTATGAGAAGAGGGTTTTGTGGAGAATTTAGTAATTTAACAACTGAAGTCATGAGTCAATGCCGCGAGCGGGATCGTGGATGCGCACTGCTGAGGAGTCCCATGATAGGGCGAAACGGCCGTCCAGATTTCCCATGGTGGTTTAGCTTAATTGACTCATGAATTCAATTATTAAATTTAAGCACAAACATGATTTGCACTTACCAAATTTTCTACCATATAATCACACCTAATAATTATGCAAAAATATATTCTAAATGATTTTTGTCATCCGACTTCATTAGTCAAAGAGACAATTAAAACTAGAGGACAATAGAGACGACTGAAATATTTACATACTTACTGGCTTCAAGAGGTATATCCTGGAGTTCCAGGTAGAAGCAGTGACCAGTGGAGTTTAACCGCACCTGTTGTGAGATAGTAACTCACTGAAGACAATGGTGGATGTGTCGCTCAATTTCATGAATTAGTTGAAGTTAAACATTAACACCTTTGGATGCCTTAGCAGTGGTTTAGATGGTAAGTGCTCACGCGCAAGACCGATAGGTCTTGGGTTCGAATCTTGCGAGGCGGGATCGTGGGTGCACACTGTTGAGGAGTCTCATACTAGAACGAAACGGCTGTCCAGTGCTTTCATGTTTTCCATGATGGTCTAGCTTCAATTGACTCATGATCTCAACTATTGAAATTACTATAATATCCACAAAAAAAGCCCTTCTGATATTACTCTTATTAAACATTCGGTTTAATGAGAATAACTATAGATTTACTTCAGAGAAATGGTACAACGTATGTTAAATGAAATCTTGTCAGCACTTCTGATTTGTACTCACATCACCAAGAAAAGAAAAATCTTCTGATTAATATCTTTATAACCCTGTTTATCTAGATCATTTATTTCAAGATTTATGTCATAAATACATCAGTCTGTAGATGGAAGCATTAATTAACCCGCAAACTTTTCAAGAGAAACTTTAACACGTTACTATCGTTCTACAAGAATATCTAAACCATACTTGAATAATAACTAGAATATAATCTATTGTTACATATTTCATAAATATAATCGTTCCTGTTCGATTGTCAATAACTTCGATAAGATTTTAGTCTTTAAATGTAAATATCCCTACGCACATAACTTCACCATCTTATTCCATGAAAAAAAAGGTGCTAGTAACTAAATGGAAATAACAATATTGTTACTTATATTTGTTATTTCATAACAATAAAATCTATACCTTTGCAACTACACAGTATGATCCAAGAAATTACTATCCAACCATATACAGTTATTGAATTATAAAAAGAAAAGAAAAGAACCAAAACAAAACAAACAACAATATTAATATCAGTTAGAAATCATTGGTATTAGTTAGTAATTTCAGTCGATTAAAAATAGAACAAGACAAAATAAAATGTGTGTAAAAGTGTTGGGGAAAAGAAAACCACAAACATACACACGCACACACAAAGAAAAAGAAACAAAAAGTAAGTGACCGTTAATTTATTTACACCGTTTTGTTTTCTTCTTTTAATTATTGGCTAATTTATTGTAGTTGTAATGAATTAGGTAATGTATTAGGTGATAAGGACAATTTGTAACATTAGATAGTAATAATAATGATGATAATAATAATAATAATAATGTAGGTTTCCAAGCATGATGATAATGATTGGAATAATCAATTCAATGTTCCATTTCGATTACTTGTACAGAAAATAAACAAACTGTGAAATCATTGAAAATAAACAGTCTATTACAATGTATTTATATATGGATTATTTATTCACTATGTACATATTACAATCATTGTTTACTCATGAGAATAATAATAATAATAATAATAATAAAGAGAATTTTACAAAAGAATCAATGAATTTCAGTTAGTTTATCAATCTTTATCATTCTTTCAATGATAATCAATTGAAATTAATCTATCACTAAATAGTGTAATTTAGAAAATACAATCATATACATTATCTTTTAGTGATTTCCATAAATATAAATTGACAATGAAGCATAGAAACACCCCCTGATAACCGAATCGAAAAAACAACAAAAATATACCGTTAATTAGTTGATTACTATTTAATGTTTGATTCTTCTTTTAATACCATACCATCCCCCCCTTCACCAGTATACATATATATATATATATATATATATATATATATATATTCTTATGCATCTATAAATATATAAACAAATCTTAGAAAATAGTTTCCCTTCAGAAAGACATTGTGTATTCGACAGATTATATGTGTACACGGTTGTTTGTTTGTTTTTTCCGATGATTCAAGAAAAAAAACGAATATACGAAACAATAGAAAGCAACATTTTTTTCCTTCATAGTCACCATCCCAACTCACCTGATTAAAAATGAGCAAATCATTTAATTGTGTAAATCTCCTTTTAAGTGTATTATTTCATAGGATCTAATTTGTGTTATATCTCAATCTATGAGAAAAACTGCATGTATGTGTGTGTATATATGTTCTTTTATTGTTTTCTCATTTTACTACTGTGATTGTGGATAAATAAATAATTGATCATTCATATTATTATTATTATTATTACATTCTGTGATCGAGTTCATATTTCTTGAATGCATAAAAATATTAGGAATTAATGATGTATTCATTGTTTCTACCATTGATGGCATTGTTGTTGTTGTTGTCGATGTTGTTGTTACTGTCATTGTTGTTAATTGTTCAGTACTATATCCATTTAAATTTATATTCATATTACTTGTATTCATCATTTGATCTTCTATACAACTTGAAATTATATTTAAATCATTTAATAAATTATTTCTAATCATATTCTCATCTTGATAAGTGGATATTTCAGTTAAATCATGATTATTCAATGATGTTGTTGTTGACGTCTCCTCTAATCGTTGATTGTAATTTACTAAATCTGATATATTACTATTATTGTGGAATGGAGATGGGATACCAATGGATGAGTTTACACTAACATGATTTGGATTAAAATTCAAATTAGATAATAAAAATGAATTATTATTATTATTATTAGTTATTGATTGTTCTGTCGTTAAATAATCTACCATTGAATTATTGATTGAATGATTTTCAATAAGTGATCCACATGAATCATATAATAAATTATTAGTAGTATGATTATTAGTAGTATTAGAATGTGTATTCAATAATCTTAATGGTAAATTAAATGATTCATTAATTAATTTATTTTCATTTATATTTTCATTATCTGTAATTACATATGGATATTTTTGTAAAATATAATCTGTACGTAATAAATGTTGTGATGTATCATGAAACGATATATTATGTAACAATGAATTATGATGAATACCATTATTACTATTATTATTATTATTACAATAATTAGGATAGTTAGAAGGGAATAATTGATTGGAATTACTTACATGAAATGTAGAATGTAATGAAGGTAGTAACGATGACGGTATTACTCCTGGTGTTGTTGTTGTTGTTGTTGGTGGTGGTGATGATGATGATGAATAGGGGGTCATTTCGTATAAATTATGAAGGGAATTATTTAATGATTGATCATTAGTATATTTACAATTGAAATTTATAGGAGTAAGAGATTGATTCAAACGACGTTTAGTACGTTTTATTGAATTATTTCGAAATGGTTGATTACTACATATATCAGAATTGTTTTCATTTTTAAATAAACTATGTTCATTTTCTAGAATCTTCTCTGATTTTCTATAGTTTATATCATTATTCATTTCATTTTGTAAATATTTTTTATCTTCAACATGATCAGCAGTAGTTTGTTTTTCTTTCATAATAATATCAAGATGTTTCTCATCATTATTGCTGTTACCATTACATATCTTATGTTTGTTGTTGTCATCTCCTTCATCGTCTTCTTCGTCATCTTCATCCTCCTCCTCCTCCTCATCATCATCATCATCATCATCATCATCGTCATCTTCATAACTATCATCATTATTTTCACTTCTACAAGTACTGTCTTCATTTGAATCAAATGCTGAACCAAGTAATAAAGGATTTAAACGTTTTTGTTTTTGTCGTCTATTACAAAACCAAACACGTACAACTTCTTTTTCTAAACCTAATACATCAGCTAATTGTATAATATCTTGTGCTAATGGTTTTGGTTGTTTAATAAAATGATTTTCTAATATACCTTTTACACCAATTTCAATACTTGTACGCTTTTTACGTTTACGTCCTTGTGTTGTAATTTTATCAAGATTATTTGTAGTACCAGTTGAACAATCAGCTTCATGTAACCATTTTTGTAATAATGGTTTTAATTTACACATATTTTTAAATGATAATTGTAATGCTTCAAAACGACATATAGTTGTTTGACTAAATACATTACCATATAATGTACCTAATGCTAAACCAACATCAGCTTGTGTATAACCTAATTTAATTCTACGTTGTTTAAACATTTTAGCAAATATTTCTAAATCATCAGCTGATGGATAATCACCAGTTCCAGGAATTATTGTATTACTATTATTGTTATGGTTACTATTATTATTATTATTATCATTTGTAATTGTATTGTTATTATGATTATTATTTCCAAGGTTAGTTGTATGCATTGTTTCATCAGTTCTATTATTTTGAAAATAATCCATTCCATTCATAGTTGTTAACGATTCATTGAATCCATGAACTTTTGATAAAATACATGTTGAAGATGGTGAACATGATTCTGTCATATTAATAAATTCATCTGATGTTATATTTGGTTGATATTTTCCTATGGATGGAAGTAATTTACATGATGAATGAATGGATGCATTTATTGTCGATGTTGTATGTGTAAGAGAAGAAATTGATGATAAAGATGAATTTGATGGTAATGTTAATTGTTGTAACATTCCACTGAATATACTTGATGATGATAAAGAAGAAGAAGAAGAAGAAGACGAAGAGGATGATGAAATTGGTATGGTTGATATTGAAGAATCAACTGATATATGATCATTTAATCTAGGAGTTGATTCTGATATGGAACTGATATGACAAACAACATTATTATTATTATTATCAGAATTATTATTATTTGTAAAATCTGCTGAGTTTTGATTATATACTAATGAATCAAACAAACATGATGAAGATTCAATTACATTTGGATTGATGTGTAAAAGTGTGTTCAAATGGTGCTCATCATATGGATGTAGATTTGATTTTTCATTTACAATTGTATTCATATTATTATTATTATTATCAAATCCAATACTACTCGTTACTATATCCATTGAAGCGGGTTGTATACCATTATTATTATTACTATTACTATTATATACATTCATTAATTCACTAACATGATTCATAAACATCATATTAGAAGATTTTAATTCATGTTTATGAAGTAAGGATTCCTTGATTGAATCTGAATGAGAAATATTACTTATGGAATTGGTCGAAGTCAATAGATTAATTTGTTGATTATATTGATCTGATTCATGTTCGTTTTGATGATGACGTTCTTGTTGTTGCCAGTATACAGATTGTTGAATAGGATTCATATATGTCGGTAAATAAGATTCATTAACAGAGGAATCGAAATAATCTGTCTTATTCATATGACTATTAGAAGTTTCATTGTTGAAATTAATCCCACTCTTGTGTATCAATGAATCTGTTAATGGTGTAGTTTGTGATAAACTAGGCAATGATGTTGTAATTGATGATCCCCTAGAAAATGTATTAAAATTGTTTGAGAATTCATCTGGAATTATTTTTATCTGATCAGCATCTACACTTGAGTTAGAAATATTATTTGTATCTAGTATCTGACCTACATTATTTATACTATTCATTGTAAATAAGTTTGGATTTGAACGGATTGCAAACTCAGATAAACTATTATCATTGGACGTCGAATAATGCAGTAATTTTTCGGGGGGTTTCACATATGTTTTAATTCTATTTAGATCTGTCGTTGAATTAGGAAATGAATCAGAATTATTAATATAAGATAAATTCATTGAATGATAAAAAGCATCACTCCTCTGATCAATATCTTCTTCTATATTCCTTTGTTGTATACTATGCATTTTTATTTTCTCATAATAATTCCCATGTTGTTTTATTATCATCTCTGAGAAATTATTTTCTTGTAAATTTATTATAGACTGTTTCGTCTTATTTTCACAGGTTTCATCAATAGAATTACAATGAAGTAAGTTACTATGTGAATCATTTTGTTTATGTGGGACCAATTCTTGATTATAGACTCTGGTTGATAAGATATTTTCATTGGTCTCTAGATAATCTTGAGTGGTACTTACTTGATGCCGATTGTCAACATCAAAATATTCATTATTGTTACTATAAGGATTACAATTAGTTTCATGTTTAGTTATTTCATCATTTTTCCATTTCATTAATAATTCAGTATCATATTGTGAATGTTCAACAGTATTTTCACAATTTCTTGATTCAATATATAAAGGCATAATATCGGTATTTTGTAAAGTATAATTACTTGAATTTGAAGATGGTGAAAACCTACAGTAATTTGTTAATTGATCATTATTACATAATGGATTGTAATCTCTTCGACCTATACTATTAGGTAACCAATGTATATTATCAGTGATCATATTAGAATGAGTCAAATTCTCCATAGTCATATTATGACTATAAGTTATATCAGTAGTATGATTTAATGTATTACTGTTATTCATAATATTTGATTTTAAAAGATTTTGTGATAATGACGTTGTAGTTATTAGATCTGAATGATTTATTAATAATGACAATTCATGTGGTTTTAGTAGTTTCTCATCATGATTATTATTATTATTATTAAGATCATTTGACCATGTTATTGGTTGTTGATCCCGATTGTTGTCACAAGATGGTAGATCAACTATAGTTTTTGTAGGATTTGTAAATATTCCTTGATTTTTTATAGTAGATTTATAACGATTCCGTAATCCTGTAGTACGTTTATTACTTTTATGTAATATTTGTAACTCTTTAGTTGGATAATGAATATGGGTTGTGTTATTATTATGATGATGATGATTGGGAGTGATAGTCATTGTTGTAGTTATTATTGAAGAATTCGAATTCGTTGTAATAATATTGTCTGATTTAAAATTATGCAATGAATTTGTTAATGCAAATAAAGGTGAATAGTCACAGGCTAATGAACATGCACTTTCTAATAAAGATAATGGATTTAATTCATTTGTATTATCAAATTGATCATTAATATTAATATTATTATTTATCATATTTGATTGATCTGAAAGTATATTGGTAAATGGAAGACTTTTCGTAACATCAGTATTTGTTATTGCTGGTGTCGTTGTTGTTGTTGTTGTTAATGGCCTTATTTTATTGAATGAATTCAATTGAGCATGATGTATTAATTTGTTATCCTCATTACAATAATCATAATCATTATTATTATTATTAGTTTGTTCAATTAATCGATATGTGAGTGATGAAGATACTGGCAATGTTAAAGACGATAATGATGATGATGATGATGATGTGGATTGGGATGATAATAATTCTTTATTTGTAATATTTAAATTAGTTTGATATGTTCCCATTAACAATGGATTCATTCAATAAAGCATTAGATGTATATGTGTACATTGGCAATGATTTCATATGTCTATAGACATTGGTTAGTATATATGTGTATGTAAATACTGTATAGAAATTCTATACACAATAGATTGTTTAATCGATGGATAAATGTGAATAAATTATATAATACTGTAGATTTTCAATGAGCAATAAACTTGTAAGGTAGTGAAAAAGAATGTATATTAGAATTCTTAAATATATCTAACTACTACTACTACTACTATGTATTCGATCATAGGGTAGTAGTATTCTAATCCTTAAAAAGTATACAGGCAGTTACTGTCATGGGTAGGCAGTCAGGCAGACATGCAGGCTTATGTTAATTTATTATAAAATTACCCGACGTTATGTTTTTGTAATTAAAGTAGTAAGAGAAAGTAAGAGTGAAAATATTTTTCAATGGTTATTTGATTGGATAAAAGTTTACTAAAGAATATCTAAAGATTATACTGGTCAATGAATTTACGCATATTATCAAATACGATAAAACAAAGGGAGGTTGAAACACTATCATATAAACATTGAATACTAGACAGGGGAGGTAGAATAGAAACTTAATGTGTTTCCAATATTTTTATAATGAAATAAATAGAGGGATGAACGACCAAACCATCCAGCTCAGAGAACAAAACTCCACCAAAATAGAGGGATGAACGGATAGAGATTGTATGGAATAAGCGATAAATATTATAAGCTTAAGGATTATTGAACAAGATGCGAGATGATTAGATATATTATTAGTTGTAAATTACACACATACACAGTGAATAAGAAATGTAAAGAGAGTGAAAAAAAGGGGAAAAAAATAAGAAAAAATCAATTTATTTTATAGGTTGAACGTGAATTTAAACAAAAAAAACAAACAAACAGAATATTCCCTTAGAACAAACAGCTTGAGAGAAAAGGAGACAAAAATACTCAAGATTGGTTAACATGACGAAATTGATTTTAAGAAAAAAAAAAGAAGAGGGAAACAGAAGATTTGAACATTTCTTCATTGCTCTTCATTTTATATTGATCACCTTGATCTTAAAAATTATTTTTGCCCAATTAATTTGTAAATGTATCCCAATATTTTGTACGTATGTAAGTATTGATTATTAATTTAGTGAATAAGTAGGTATTCGGTAAGACAGAATATATAATTAGTTTGTTTATACACAGATCGATGATTGAATGATGAGCAGATCAAATTCTATTGATCAGGTTATAATATGACCACTAGTCGAAGTAATTGAGTTTTGATGTAAGGTGGTTGGAGATAATAGATTATAAGTACTAGTTATATTTGATATTAATTAAAACTCAATGATCAATTAACATAAATATCTATATCGTACAACAAGTTAATGCCAACCTCAATAGCTCACTAATCATGTCTCAAACTTTCAAACTGAGAAATATGAGTTTCAATTCTACTATAAGTATCAGTTCCTTCAATAATTCACACAAGCTTTTTTGATGAGTATCAACTAGCATGAAATCTATACTCGACATTTCATGTTAACTGCCCCCTCCCCATTAACTTATATCGAGTTTATTTGTATTCTATAAATTTTTGGTGGCTTTCACTTCATTTTGATGGAATAAAATTCTACATTATGATGCTTTGAAATGAAACAGTTTTAAATATGCAAATATCTACATTCTGAAGTCAAATATTAGTCATTGTTACTAGATATTTTCACAATGCAGTTATGGTACCGGATAACAAATAAATTTATGGACAGTGATTAGTTAAACCAATTCCGCTGATGGTCTATAATTATCCTGATTGTCAGAGATTTTGTTCTCTGAGCTGGATGGTTTCGTCGTGGAGCTTTCATTGTTATTCTAAACGACATCATCAACACAAACTTCAGGTAGAAGTGAAATGTTCGAATTTCTCCACATATAACCTACAACTTATCATGTCAACATCGATCTTGATTGACTGTCATTGACTTTTAACCTATCACTATATGTTTCTTTATTCTGATTGTACCTCTGTTTGATCTGATTCTTGGTCCTGTATTTATATATGATTTTTCTGACTTGTTTATAGATTGGATCGCTTTCCATGTGTTTATTGATTACTGATTGAAAAATAAACAGAAATTCGCACACTTCACTTCTACTTGAAGTTTGTGCTGCTGATGTCATTTAGAAAACCGATGAAGGCTCAACGACCGAATCATCCCACTCACAGAACAAAACTCTACCCAGATCATCCACCTGAGCTACAAATCTTCTCCACCATCTCAAATTTTACAGACCTACCGTAAATAGTATAAAAAATTGAAGACCGGTATTTTTATTTTTATTAAACAAAACCTAAATTTGTGTTTTGTTTTAATATTTGATGAACAGAAGTATGACCGGAGCAGCAGATCATTTTAGTTAGATTAATCAATGTCTGTGTGATTACTTTCATCAGCACTTTATGTATAAGACGGTGATTGATAGTTATTCATCAGTCATCAAATTTTTGAGAAATAACTCATTTCTCAATTAGATAAAAATGTAGTTTTCACGAGTAAAATGTTAAATTCACTTGGTGTTGTTTTACTCATATTTTCCGATTGTTATTTAGGATTGCAATTAATCAGTCTCATATTGGTATATGTGCATCCTGTGCGGAATGTCTTAGTATTGCCCTAAGTCACAAGTATTATATGCAAAGATGGATGGTGGCTAACAGTGGAATCTAGGATGCGCGTTTCGCTCCAGTAGCGACTCGTCGAGTGGGTATACCTGTATCCTTGTTTAAAAAGCTTGTGACTTAAGGCTATATTAAGGTAATCCACACAGAATGCACATATGCCAATATCAGACTGATTAATTGCAGTCCTAAACATTAATTAGAGGATTCAAACAAACAACAAAAGCTCACTTGACTGCACAAGCTAATGGCTATTAGGACTCAGTAGCTAAATGGATAACGCGACGGCTGGGTTTGAGTCCCGGAGTGAACATCAACTCTGGGATGCAGGTGCATCCAGCCGACGAGCCCCAACTGGGACGAAACATGAGTCCTGGATCCTACTGCTAGCTACTCTCCATCTTTGCTTAATAAAATATTGTTTGTTTCATCCAAATAGTTTCTTAATATTGTGTTTGGTAATTAAACCATCCAACGTTTAACTATCAGAAACCGGGTTCAAATATCTCTCTTTTACTTTTCTTCGAATAATATGTATCAACCCTCTTAGTAAACATCTATTCTTTGTAAATAATGAGCTGAAGGATGAGAATGATTTACCACTTCTGTATGCAAAAGTATACGATAGTTATACAATAATATCTAAACTAAGTTATTTAAAATAGAACAATTCCAAGTAAGAAATGATTTCATTAAATGAATCATCATTAAACACAATATAGAACATTAAAAGACTTTTTCTGTTACCAAAAATCAAATTACATTCTCTTTTTTTTTGTTTTTCAACGGACAACAGAATAAATGATCCATTTTGAAGTAAATTCCTTTTTCATATTCACCGCATTTCCTCATTGATGTAACAAAATCTCCCACCTGTACCATTGAAGTAGTTGATATTCTTGTCTCATTAAATGAGCACGATCATAGTAAATACAGTTAATGATTATTTTCTTATTCTCCATAACTATAGAAAGAAATCAAATAATGATAATAATAATAACAATAATAATAGAATGGAATTATGTGTCGTAATGGACTTAATGAATCCACTTACAACCTTAACTATTCATTAAGACAACCTTAAAAATGAAACTGTTTTAGGAAATTAAAGTACTGATTATTGAGATGGTGGAGATTTGTAGCTCAGGTGGATGGTTTTGATGGAGTTTTGTTCTCTGAGTCGGATAGTTTGGTCGTGGAGCTTTCATCGTTCTTCTGAACGTCATCATTAGCACAAACTTCAGATAGAAGTGAAGTGTTCGAAAAGCTGAAATAAGTTCGAAAATTTCTCTGTAAATGAGTAGTTTCTCTTGAAAGTTAAAAAACATAAACATGCGATCTTATAATTGATAGCATAAAATAATTTGAAATTGTTTCGATTTCCCGATAGTGGGTAGTATGAGGAACTAAAACAGGCCTTCTATTTGAGATTCATTTTATTAATGACGCTTACACTGAGATTAGAACTCAATACTTATCGCTTCTAATACTAACATGTCATTATGACTCTACAGATTGATGGACAACGCGTTCGTACCAAAACTATAAACAGTGGATTCTAGTCTCAGTATGAACATCATCACTATTATACAGATGGATCCTAAATAGAACCAGATATTATTTCCGGATCCCACTGTTACCTACAATTCATATATATATATATATAGTTGAGATCATGAGTCAGTTGAAGCTAAACCACCATGGAAAACCTGGATCAGTTGTGAGATAGAAACTCACTGAAGACAATGGTAGATATGTCTCTCAATTTCGTTGGTTGGTTTAAGTTATACGTTAACACCATTGGATGCCGGCTCAGTGATCTAGTGGTTAAGCGCTCACGCGCGAGACTGATAGGTACTGGGTTCGAATCTCGTGAGGCGGGATTGTGGATGCACACTGCTGAGGAGTCCCACAATAGGACGAAACGGCCGTCTAGTGCTTCCAGGTTTTCCATGATGGTGTAGCTTCAACTGACTTATAATCTCAACTATTGAAAGCTCAATATCGAATTATTTGTTTCGAGATTAATTAAAATTCAGTCCTAAATATCAACAATGGAATAATCCAAACTTTTTAGAATAATAAAATAATTTTCAGATTTATCATAAAAACACCGTAACAGTGATAAGTTGCACTTATTGGTCTTTGAAAATATAAGTTTATATACCATGGTACTTTTATTTACATCAGATAATATTTATCCATTTACTTGGTTTTTTGATGGGTTTGTGTCCGTCAATAATAAGACTTGATTTCGGTTTAATTAATATTGATTTTAACTATCCTGACTGAATTTTGATCACTCTTAATCGATATTCGTCCATTCTAAGTGGATAACCTTGAAATAGCCATCATTA